AGGTATATTTCAAATTAAATATTACAGCACTCAAATAAATCAATCTCTCGAGTTCAATATTATTGTGCTGAAAGCACATATCACATTTATAATTCTTAAGTACCGTCAGGTACATTAACATTTAATAAGATATTACAAATATGTACAAATAAGTGTGTGTATGCGTGCAAGTGCTCTTAAGTAGTTAGCTATGTCTCAAGGCTCGAATAAGACTTAAACAAGTGACTGACAAAGTCCTCAAATAAACTAACTTCTTGACCGACTGGCAACCTGAACAGTCTGCTTGAACAACAAAGAATGCTAAGCCCAATAGCAATGCAATATCAAGCGACTGCGATACAGAATCAGGAACTAGGAGATAATATAACGACACTAAGTAGGGACCATCTGCAGATCCTCCACAAAAGTTACAAAACTCCCATAATACTGAATCTTTGTTCAGCATAGGTAAAACTGTGACTGTGACAATACACAGGAACCAGTACAAAATTAGGTCAGAAACTATAGCTAAGGACCTGAGATGTTCAGAGTGTCAATGTGACACACAACCTCAGTACAACGTCGAAAATCACTAAGTCTTTACAATGTTCTGTGAACAAAGTTCTACAGAACTAACAAGAATAATGAGACAGACAATCTGTCCAACCAGCAAGCGAGTCTACAGCAGACTGAATACTTCACACGAGGTGAGGACACCCCCCCCTCGATCACGTGGTAGCTACGTGGACAACTGCAGCTCAGAAGCCGGCAGTATAACGAGCGACAAGCGATAATTACAGTAGTTTGACAATCAAGACTAACTGAGCACATTTTATATACATCCTAACAACATAAGCTAAATAACAATATAACAGTCAAATAATAATATAAAGTCATACATTTACGATTTAGCTATTATCGCAAATATAAGCAATATAAAATTAAATGAAATGGTAATATACATTATATATACATAATTATCATTGTAATTGCCTTTCCGTCGTGGCCAGTCGACGCAGGCCTGTTGCCAAGAACAAACTTCAGTGATAACTTGACAAAATGGGTAAGTAAAAGATCCACATCTCCATCGTGGTGGTGGGCCATGTAGACTCTGGCAAGTCCACTACCACTGGCCACTTGATCTACAAATGTGGTGGCATTGACAAACGTACCATTGAAAAGTTCGAGAAAGAGTCGACAGAGATGGGCAAAGGATCCTTCAAATATGCCTGGGTTTTGGACAAGCTAAAAGCAGAACGTGAACGTGGTATCACCATCGATATTGCCCTCTGGAAGTTTGAAACCAAGAAGTTCTACGTCACTATCATTGATGCTCCAGGGCATCGTGATTTCATCAAGAACATGATTACGGGAACGTCTCAAGCTGACTGTGCTGTTCTGATTGTTGCTGCTGGTACTGGAGAATTTGAAGCTGGGATTTCTAAGAATGGCCAGACCCGTGAGCACGTCCTCCTGTGCTTCACCTTGGGTGTGAAGCAGTTGATTGTTGCTGTGAATAAGATGGACAGCACAGAACCAAAGTACTCTGAAACAAGATTTGAAGAAATCAAAAAGGAACTTACTGCATATGTAAAGAAGGTGGGTTACAACCCAGCTATTGTGCCCATCCTCCCCATCTCTGGCTTCAATGGAGACAACATGCTGGAACCATCTGACAACATGGCCTGGTGGAAACCAAAGAAGACTGAACGCAAGAATGGCTCATACGAGTACCACACATTATTCGATGCTCTAGACAACATTGATCCCCCAAGCAGACCTCTGGACAAGCCCCTTCGTCTTCCCTTGCAGGATGTCTACAAAATTGGTGGTATCGGTACAGTGCCCGTTGGACGTGTTGAAACCGGTATCCTAAAGCCTGGAATGGTGGTGAACTTTGCTCCAACTGGCCCCACTACAGAAGTAAAATCTGTAGAAATGCACCATGAAGCTCTGGTAGAAGCTGTTCCAGGTGACAATGTTGGTTTCAATGTGAAGAATGTTTCGGTGAAGGATCTGAAACGTGGTTTTGTTGCTTCAGACTCTAAGAACGATCCTGCCAAGGAGGCCGCTGACTTCACTGCACAAGTGATAGTTTTGAACCACCCTGGTCAAATCAATGCTGGTACACACCTGTGCTTGACTGCCACACTGCTCACATTGCCTGCAAGTTCTATGAACTTCTGGAAAAGATCGATAGGCGTACTGGTAAGGTTCTGGAAACTGGACCAAAGACCATAAAGTCTGGTGACTCTTGCACTGTTAAAATGGTGCCCAGTAAGCCAATGTGTGTAGAGACCTTCCAGAAGTATGCTCCTCTAGGACGTTTTGCCGTACGTGACATGAAGCAGACGGTCGCCGTAGGCGTTATCAAGGATGTCAACAAGAAGGAAGGTGGCGGAAAGACTACAAAGGCAGCAGAGAAGGCCCTCAAGAAGAAGTAACCTACATCTTAGAGACCATAATAGGTTTACTGCGTTATCTAGTCTTTAAGATGTATGGTTTTTATAAGAATAAACTTGAGTAAGGAGTAAAAAAAAAAAAAAAAAAAAAAAATAATCATTGTAACCCATTCATGGGTTGCAACACCCCCCCCCCCAACACGACAGAGGGTCGCTCTAGGAGTTGCATGAATGTCTTTCACATTATTTGTGGTTACTCATATCAATATTATTATCAATATAAAAATTAAACATTAATCAGAGTCTCTCTTGTGTAAAGCACCTCTACAATTTCACAGCGTCCATCACTAGGATATGTCCCTAGTACTAGGGCAGTACACCGTATCGTATCTCTTCATACTCGTGGTTATGTACATCAGTGTAGAGACTGGATAGCGCTGACAAGGAGGGCACGTTAAGGCTCGATCATAGTAGAGGAGACTGCATTCCACTCTTAAGTAGTGGTTGTGGAATGCGAGGCAGTATGAACATCTGAGTATGAAACAGCTTAAGGTGTGTAGTGAGGGGGGGGGGGTCTGCGGCAGGACAGTGTTGCGTCACGCAGTACATCACCCGCACCACACTACTCACTCAACACTCAGCTTGTCTCCTCCTCACACAACATTACTGTGAATATATAAATATAATAATTAGACATGACATGAGTATATATAGTTAATATGGGCTGGAGGGATTAAGTTACTTTACTGAATTTGTTTTATACTAATAGAATAAGGTTGGATTCTGAGGGCCCACCTCATGATCCTAGCATTTTTACTTTTCATAGTATTTATATAAGTGAGTGGATTGTGGTCAGAAAAAACGTTAATTTTAAATGGGGAAGTGCCCAAATACACGTCAAAATGTTCCAATGACACCACAAGAGCTAGAGCCTCTTTCTCAATAGTGGCATAATTTTTCTGGTGTCGTTTAAGCTTAGATGAATAGTAACATATAGGATGGAGAATGTCAGTGGATGTTGACTGTTGGAGCAGCACAGCGCCCACTGCATAACGACTCGCATCTATATGTAAAAAGAAGGGAAGATTGAATTTTTTTTTTTTTTTTTTTTTTTTTTTTATTTAAAACGTCATATAACAACATATTAAATATATAAAAAAACCTACATTACATCATCAAGTGTATCTTGTGTGACAACGACATCATCAGTGTATCCTTTGTGTACCTGGCATCATCAGAGAATCTTTGTGTGACACGACATATCATGTACTTGTGTGACCTGGCATCATCAGTGTAATCTTGTGTGACCAGGCATCATCCATATGTAACATTCTTGTGTGACGCTCGAGGGGGAGGTGTGAGCGGCGTCATACAGTGTCTCTTTAGTGTGACCTGGCATCATCAAAAAAAGTGTATCTTGTGTGACCTGGCATCATCAGTGTAATCATGTGTACATACGTCTTCATCAGTAGTATCTTGATGTGACACGGCATCTTCGAGTGTATCTTTGTGTTACACGACAACATCATTGTATCTTGTTGTGAACCTGGCATCATCCAGGTATCTTGTGTGACCTGGCATCATCATTGTTATCTTGTGTGAACACGGCATCATCAGTGTATCTTGAGTGACACGGCAATCATCAGTGTATCTTGTTTGACCTGGCAACCATCATGTATCTTGTGTGACACTGCATCATCAGTTTATCTTGCGAGACAGGCGCAATCATCAGAGTATCTTTTTTGAGCCTGGCATCATCAGTGTATCTTGGTGTGACACGACACACGGCATCATCAGTGTAATCTTGTGTACACGGCAATCATCAGTTTAATTCTTGTGTGACCTGGCATCACATCAGTGTATCTCAGTTAGACCTGGCATCATCTGTGCATCAAGTGTGACAGCGGCAATCATCAGTGTTATCTTGACTGTTTACCACGCATCATCAGTGTATCTTGTTGTGACCTGGCATCATCAGAGTATGCTTTGTGACCTGGCATCTATCATGTAACTTGTGTGACACGGCATCATCATGTATCTGTTGTGACCTGCATCATCAGTGTATCATGGTGAAACCCTGGCATCATCAGAGGCGTATCTGGTGTGACACGGCCATCATCAGTGTATCCCATGTGTGACCTGGAGCTCATCAGTGTAACTTTGTGTGACCTGGCATCATCAGTGTTATGCAATTGTGTCACGAGCATCATCAGTGTATCTTGTGTGAACCTGGCCGACAACATTGTAAACATGTGTGACAGCGAGCATCATCATTGTATCTTGTGTGACACCGGCATCATCAGTGTATCTTTTGTGACCTGCAGCATCAAGTAACTTGTGAGATGACACGGCATCGTCATTTGTTATCTTGTGTGAGCCTTGGCAGCTATCAGTGAATCTATGTGTTACCAGGAATCATCAGTGTAACTTGTGTGGACACGACAACATCAGTGTACCTTGTGTGACACAGGCATCATCATTGTACATTTGTGTGACAACGAGCATCATCAGTGCTAAATCCGCATGTGTGACGCTGGCACATCATGTGTACATCATTGTGTGGACCTGCATCATCATGTTAAATCTAGTGTGACCTGTCATCATCAGAGTATCTAGTGAGACCTGGGCATCTCAGTGTAGTCTTGTTGACCTGGCAATCATCAGTGTATTCTTGTGGTGACCTGGCATCCTTCAAGGGATATCTTGTGTGACAAACGGCATCATCATGTGGTCATGTGCGACCTGGCATCATCAGTGTAACTGTGTGACACGGCATCATCAGTAGTTAACATGTGTTACCTGGAATCATCATGTATCTGTGTGTGACCTTGCATCATCAGTGTATCTGTGTGACACGAGGCATCAACATTGTTCATTATTTATTTTTGTTACGACCAGGCATCATCAGTGTATCTTGTTGACACGGCACTATCAGTGTAATCTTGTGTGACCTGGCCATCATCAGTGTATCTTGAGTGACACGGCCATCAACAGTGATCTTGTGTGACATACGGGCATCATCAGTGTAACTTGTGTTGACACGGCATCATCAGTGTATCTAGTTTGATCCTGGCATCATCTTGATCTTGTCTGTGTCCGGAGCATCATCAGTGGTAAATGTTTGTTTACACGGCATCATCAGTGTAATCTTGTGTGACACGGCATCATCAGTTATCTTGTGTGACCCTTGCATCATCAGGGTATCTTGTGTGACACGGCATCATCCAGTGTATCTTTTGTGACCATGGCATCATCAGTGTATCTGTGTACCTGGCCATTATCAGAGTATCTTGTGTGAACAACGACATCATCATGTATCTGTGTTTGACCTGGCATCAACAGTGTATCATGTGTGACACGATATCATCAGTGAATCTTGTGTGACCTGGCATCATCAGTGTATCTTGTCTGTGACCTGGCATCCATCCAGAGTATCTTGTTAGACACGGCGTCCATCATGTATCTTGTGTACCTGGCAATCATCAGTGTCTCATGTGTGACCTGGCATCCATCAAAGTGTATCCTTGTGTGACCGGCTTCATCATTGCGGATAACTTGTGTGACACGGCATCTTCAGTGTATTCTTGTGTGACGACATCATCAGTGTAATCTTGAGTGACCTGGCATCATCAGTGTATCTATGTGTGACCTTGCATCATCAATGTATCTTGTAGTGACACAGCGCAGTCATCAGTGTATCTTGTTGACACGGCATCATCATGTATCTTGTGTGAACTGGATCATCAGTGTATCTTAGTGTGACACGGCAATCATCAGTGTATCTTGCTGTGCACAGGGCATCATCATGTATCTTGTGAGTGACCCGTGTCATCAAATCAGGTATCTTGTGTGGACACGCATCATCAGTAGTATCCTTGTGTGACCACGGCCATCATCAGTAATCTTGTGTGACCTGGCATCATCAGTGTAATTTGTCGTGACCTCATCATTCATATGCATCATTGAAACACGGCATCATCAGTGTATCCTTGTGTGACACGGCATCATCATGTATCTTGATGACCTGGCATCATCAGAGTATCTTGTTTGGACCCTGGCATCATCAGTGTATCTTGTGTGACACGGCATCATCTAGAGTATCTTGTGTGACACGGCAATCATACAGTTAATTCTTGTGTGACACGCGGCGTCCAACAGTGTCACTGTGTGACCTGGCATCATCAGTGTATGTTGTGTGACCTGGCATCTATCAGTGTATCTTGTGTGACACGGCATCATCAGTGTATCTTGTTGTGACAACTGCATCATCAGTGTATCTTTTTTGACCTGGCATCAATCAGTGTAAAAAAATCTTGTGTGAACCTGGCATCATCATGTATCTAGTGTTTACACGGCATCATCATGTAATCTTGTGTGAACACGATGGCATCATCATGTAATATCTTGTGTGACCTGGCATCATCATGATCTTGTGTGACATCGGCATCATCAGTGTATCTTGTGTGACACAACGAGCATCCATCATAGTATCTTGTGTGACAAAAGGCATCCATCAATTGTCATCTTGAGTGACACCGCATCATCAGTGTATCTTCTGTTACCCTGATCATCATTTGTATCGTTTGTGACACGGCATCATCACTGTCTCGTCTGTGTGCACGGCAATCATCAGTGTAGTTCTTGTGGACCTGCACTCATCAGTGTATCTTGTTGACCTGGCATCCCTCAGTGTAATCATGTGCGTGACACGGCATCATCAGCGTATCTTGTGTGACACGGCATACATCATGTGTATCTTGTGTGACACGCTCATTCATCAGTGTATCTTGTGTTGACACGGCGTCATCAGTGGTATCTTTGTGAAACGGGCATACATATCAGTGTATCTTGTGTGACACGACATCATCATGTATCTGTGTGACCTGCCATTCATCAGTGTAATCCTGTGTGGACCTGGCATCATCAGTGTATCTTGTGTGACACGGCGTCATCAGTGATCTTGTGTGACCTGGCATCATCAGTGTATCTCTTTGTGTGACCTGGCATCATCAGTGTATCTTTTGTGACACGGCTTCATCAAGTGTATCTTGGTGACACGGCATCTTCAGTGATCTTGTGTACACGGGCACATCATCAGTGTATCTTGTGTGACCTGGGCCATCATCAGTGTATCTTGTGTGACCTGGCCAATTCATC